ATTCCCAGGTTACTCTTGGGGCTCGTATACTCAAGGCTTAGGCCGCCTACCTGCGACGAATATATCCCTAAACCTTAAATCCCTCGACCTTAACCAAGCCCTCAGAGGCCAAGAAGTTTCTCAAAGAACGAGTCTACGCCCAGCCCGTAGAGAGGAATAGGTTTTGGCCTACATGGGGGTGGGAGGAAGATGCATCAAGGATATCCTGGGTTTTGCAATACCATATTTTGCTATTAGTTTAAGGACCTGTACCTTAAAGGAAGCATTATGAAAAAGAAGCTGTGGGTTTTCCCCTGGTTGCTTCAAAGCCCAGCATCGCAACTATTCGAAAACACGACGCACCCGAAACAGAACTGTCGCAAAGCGCTTTCGCCCACGTGCTACTCCACAATCCCAAACCTTGGACCGTAAGCCGTACCGCACCTCTTCTGCATAGCCTGTTTTACGGCTAAGATCCGGTTGTATAAGAAGCCGAGGTGACCGACAAGCGGTACAGTAGTACTGTTGATGATAAAAATCCTGCATTACTTTAAGGAATGGATCATGCAGGATCTAGATCATCAACCGCACGTTTCTGGGGTCTGTTTTTATACCCTGAACCCCAAGGAGCACGAGGAGATGAGCGTGGTGTCACTAGCATCGCTGGAGACACGGCAGTCATACTTCTCCGAGAACTTGCCCGATAAGGCCTTGAAGCCTAAAGCGTGAGGTATTTAAGTTTATAGGATCGCACTAGTATAGGTGAGTGTTCCGGGGCACTCCGGCTACGGCTAGAGAGCGGGACCAATAAACTTTAACTGAGGAACTTGTTCGAATCATATTTAAAAGCCCCTAACCCCAGGAGGACCCAAGTAGTTATGTAGGTTAGGTTTGGGAAAATATATGATTAAGTACTTGGACCCTTGGGGTAAACCCTAAACCAGCTTTTTCAGGGAAATTCCACCTTGGTTCTCTCGTTGTGCCTTCTTGTGCTGCTTGGTGCAAGGCTCTGCTTCTGTGGGCCAGGGATTTAGGGGTTTCAGGGCTTGAGGGCTCCAACCCAAAGGGTTCTAGGGCTCTAAGTACCTACAAGGTTTTGTTTTAAGGGCTGAAGGTTTAGAAATGCTCTACAGGTTCCTGCAAGGGTTCAGGGTTTCGGGTTCGAGGTTCCTTCATCAGGGTTACTTACCCAGCCATATTTTTTTCGTTCCTTCTACAGAAATAAGGAGTCCTCTAAGGGACCTGTATGTAAGAGTTCCTTTAAGGGTCTAGGATTTAAGGAAACTATAGTACATAATATGGTTTCCGTATTGTGGTAACTTAAGATACATCCCTTTACAAGAACCCAGTGCATCATGGCTTTCTGGGTTTGGGCTTTGGGGTTTGCATAATTCTTCTATTCGTCACTCAGAGGACTATGGTTTGGGTACGGCCCCCACTCCGTAACAGTTGGATAATATTCATAATAGAGATATATAAGGCCCTTCATAGTAGCCCTATCATAGACTGTTACTGTATGGGGGCCGTACCCAAACTATGAAGTAGGTGACGAAGAACCCCACACTGCCCCCGAGGCACCCCCGGCCCTGAACCCTCTAAACCCTAACGTCCTAAACCCTAACGTCCTAAGCCCTAGACCCTAAACCCTAATCTCTCAACCCCTAAACCTGATAACATCCGTTCGTTGGCAAATGTTGGTTTGGGGTTGCTAAGCACTGGTTCCGGGGGACAGTTCTGAGGGTAGTGGTCTAGTGACTGTTGGCTATTTAAGGGATAGTAACTATGATAGCAAACCCTTCTATAAAGAGAATACGGCCCTACTGACACGAAGAAAGCCAGCTCTTGTTTTGCATGCTCTCGCTTGTACTTGGAAGGTGCGAATAAGCAGTGAAACACCTGGGCTTTGCAGGCAAAAATAAAAGTACAAGAAGATCTAACTTACAAACCAATGATGTCTGACGCTGTCACAATCGCATGTCACATGACTCTCAAGCAAGTGCATCAGTGCATCAGATGTGCTTGTTGACATGCCATGCTGCCATGATCATGCCATGATGCATGAAGTGATCATGTGCACATGCCAGACATGGTCTCATATGCCGTGCGACATGCACCGATCCGACTTGATCTTCACATGGCCGACGGCATGCATTGCAAATTCATGACACTCAAGTCACTCAAGTCTTCAGTTGCACATGCTGTCATGGTGCATGCATGCATGGAACAGTGCCTTAGCAGAATGTGGTGCAGAGTCTATCCCTTTTTTCTGAAGATGCTGGCTTCTGCAGCAAGCCGGGGCAACCGCAACCCCCAATCAAAGGTCGCATAAGACCGCTGCCACATAGGGTCAGGTCCCAAAACTACTACGACCAATCACAGGGCAGGCCCGCGCATCATGGCATCAAGCTGTCATGTCATTTCATGTCATGTGTCTGTGCCGCTAGGCCTGCATATGCCGTCATGACTAGGTGCGGTGTGAGACTCATGACGCATGTGGGATGAAGCTGGGTGGCACAACTTGCACAACGAGGAAACCTGCGGCATCACTGCTGTATACTCTAGATTACTAGTCAAGCTGCATATAGCGAAGCTGCTGACATAAGACCATCCCAGTTTTTACTTCCGGCCCCTTCAGCGCAGGAGGAACTGGATGTCCGCCGAGGCCCGTGTGGATGCAACCAGCTTCGATGATGAGGATTCTTCCTTCTTCACAGCCTTCTTCTCCGCAAGCTTCTTGCTGTAGGCAATGCCTCCATGGAACAGCTCCTTGTCCTTCATCGCTGCTTTGCCGGCTTTTTGCCCGCGTCCACTTGCACTTTCAAAAGAGAATGGTGTCCGTGTGAGTGCAAGCATGACATCGTCCAGTTGAGCCTCCAGGAAAACCAACTCGACTCAATTACTCTGGATTCTTGACTCTTCACACTCTTCACTCTTGACTACTCTTAGGACTCTGAAGAATACTATTCATTGCATGCATGCAAACTCATGCAAACATGTGGATGTCATGATGTCATGTGGGAAGGCCAGCCTTCACCTGTTCCACCGCAGACTCACGTGGCTTGAGCACTACATACGTGACAATGACATCCACCTTTGCACCGGTCCTTAGCCGACAAAGCCACAAACTTTATCGGGCCGTGGCCAGTCAGCGATTTTGTCATCCAAACATGCTGAGGCTCGCAACTGCAAATGTCATTGTGTCTTCTTCCGTTGTGACTTCCAAGGACGATTTCGGTGACCCTCTCTTGTCCGAGTCGGCCAGCGACTTCATAAGAAAGGCCGCACAGGGAATCTCCGAGGTAACCTTGTCGTAACCCGAAGGGTTCATGTAAAACTTGAGGCTGTTGCCCCCCAAATCGCACTGGGCAACCTCGGGTGAGATGTTGGCGAATGACTGAACTGATGTGACGCTATGCAGCTTGCGGTATTGACACATGAGGCACACGTGTCACATGTCTCATGAAGTCGCACGGCTCTCATGTCACTGAAAAACATGTTGGAAACGTGGACTCTGTATCTGTAGTCCAGACTCCAGACTGACACTCACATGGGTTCTAATCGAGAGCACCTCCATACTCTTCGGCCCAGCTTGCGTCGTGATGTTCCCGAAGCAGTAGAGCTTGAAGCCAACATCCTTGAACGATTTCGCATCCACGATGACAGGGTTCTTGGCGCCCGCTGTGAAGTCCAGCTTCACGGCATTCAAAGCTTCCAATGTTGTCAGAGCCTTTGACAGGAAATGGTTCTGTAATGAGTTCACAAGGCTCAGCACATCAAGGATGTTCATGCGGGGATCGGCTGCGTCATCCGGTGCGAAGGCAAAGGTGTACAGCTCGTTGATAGGGACTTGCGTTGGCATGATGGGGACATTTGGGCCTGCATGATCTTGTCCCGCATCCGCATTCCTCGCTTTGCAATCTCTAACGATGCCAATGCCAATGCACTGAAGTTACTGAAGTACCCAAGCCGTGCAGGGTGCAGGGCACGCGCTACATGTATCCTGACTGTCGTGACTTGCAAGCATGCATGATGCATCTCGTGATGACGACTGACCCGGACTGCCCCACTGACCGTGAATGCGACCGACCGTGACGGTGACCGGTGCCGGTGACCATTTCGCAACTTCTGACAGGTAACTTGCCCGAGCTCGGCGCAGACACATTCTTGTTGGGGCCGTCATGACCGTCATGTTCAACCTTAATCTGCTCCGGCTCAGGAATCCCCGAACCAGTCTGGGACTCTGGGAATTGAGCATGTACTGAAACTTCTGCGGGATATCGATCCCGATGTCACCCAGTGCGGCTGGCACCTTCTTCGTGTCGAGCACATGTTGGAACATCTTGGTCCACGCGATTGACCATTGAGATTCGTCGCTGACGCACGTGGTCAGCAAGCCCTCCATTGCAACGACCGTGTCATGCGATTCCTTGAGGACCTTCACCGCTGCAAGCATGTCATCGAACTTGAAGTCTGTGGCCCGCCCCAGAACTGCATGCTTTGCCATCTTGGTGAAGGCTGCCTCTCGGCACCAGTGGCATCAAGACGTATGAGGCATGACTGGCTTAGTGAATCGTGTCCTGGATCATGGAGTCATGGACTCATGGACTCATGGACATAACAACATGTAGTGGTGCAGTGGTGCAGTGGTGCAGTGGTGCAGTGCAGCGGATTAACGACCGGTTTCACACGCCATGAATCTGCCATGATGATGACTCGTGATGGTATGTGACAGTCGACGTGACATGATGACATGCCCCGTACGTGAAACCAACGCAAGCCTCACAAACGTTCAGGAGGTATGATGCACGGATGCACGAGAGAGTCGTCAAGGAGTCATTGTTCGGCTTCAGCATGGTGAATTCCACGACCTCACCAGCCTTGCAAAACAACTTCAGTCATCATGCTATTGCGACCAGCGACCACGATTGCACTTGTAACGCAAACGATTTGATGCACAACATGACATGTCGTGTCAACATCGTGAACATGAGCAGCATATGAGCATATGGCATGATTGCAAATCAGCCGGAACTAAACATTGCAGCTGGAGAAACATCCGTTGTGTAGGAGTCATGCTTGTCAAAGCAAAGGAAGTGGCAAAACTGCGGCAAAACATCCTTCATGTCCCCGCACCCCGGGTTTACTTCCGAGCCGATCTTGGCAACGACCGCCACAGCCAAGCTGGGCACAGCTGCCGGCACATGTTCGTAGATTGCCTCTGCAAACGTCCAAAGGCAATCGGACAGGCTGATGGAATAGGCCACCTTCTCCTCTGGCGAGCGGTCTAACTGCAATCTCTTGGCGACCATCTGCATGGATGCGGCGTAGGCAGGCTGATGTACCACATTCGTGTCGTTGTTGATCTTTGCCCAACGTTTGACAGCCTCTGCCGACTCGGCAGTGAGCCACAGGTTAACAGACTTGCTTCCAGGGGAAGTCTTCTTGGTTGCAGCATCAGCCTGTCCCAGCTCACTGGTCAGGAAAGCCACGATGTCTTCCGTCTGTCCCGCTGGCACAGCTGCCTTGAGTTTCTGCACAGCCTTTCTGATCACATCTTGCAAGGCTGCTCGCACCTCCAACAAGAAACATGCCGAATCCAGTGGACATGTGACATGCAGCGAAACGGATATGCGACGACATGATTCCGACATGCTCATGTGTCATGATGTCTGGTGCCATGTGTGCTATCGCTTATGCGAGGCCTGCCTGCGACCAGCATTTGCGCTCCTGGAAATTGATCTTCACCTTCTTGAAGAATGCGAGCTCGAGAGCATAGAACAGGCACATGGCGACCACGTCAGCCAGGGCAGGGTTCAACAGCTCGGGCATGCCTATCAGGCTATGTGGAGCGGGGCCGAAATGATTGACGTTGTAGGTTATATGAGATTGTAAACTATAAGCCGCCCTATAAGCGCCACTTTACGTATCAGTCGAACGCAAATTCTGGGTTCGAGATCCCACCGCCGCACCTCCAGCAGCGTGCACCATGCAAGCGAACACATCATCGATCCACCAACGCTTTCGGCTGGGGACATCGGTGTCCTGCTCACCGTCGTCAACACTCATCACCATAGCAACATCATCCTGCAAAGTGCCCGCTTCCTGCTGCGCCTCCATGGCGGATGTCGCTGCGGCGGCTGCGCGAGTCTTGGCTTTGGCTGTGGCACGTCTCTGCTTCTTCTTTGCCTCAGGGGTCAGCAAGTCGTTCACGTCCACGGCTGACGACGTGGCTCCGCCCGTGCCATCGGCCTCGCCTGATGCCGCTCGTTTCTTCGCAGCAGCTGCGGCAAGACGGTTGACGAAGGGGGCACCGGCGATCTCTGTGACCACTCGTGCGAAGACATCCGGCATGTGCTTGCTGAACATGAACTCAGGGAACTTGCGCTTCGCCTTTTTGACGGCACCTTAAATCTCTCTGCCAACCCGATCCGATGACTCCGATGACCCAAGACTCCCAAGACGCAAGTTACATGAACTGCACGTCATCTAATGATGGCTGCAATGCGCTTGCAGCTCTATGTGATTATGCGAGACACTGGCATCCGCAAACCCTCGTGGTGCAGGATCATCTGCAGGTGGCTCAACCAATGGCACCTGAAGTCGTGTGTGTGTGTGTGTGTGTGTGTAAATACCGCACCCAGTGCAAGCTAGCAGCTCGTGTGCAAAGGGATGCACACGTGGCTATCGGACGTGTCAAACGTGACATGACATGCAACGCAGCAACGCAGTACGTCTACCGTATTTGATATACTATGCGACTATGCGACCATTGGTCGCAAGCTATCATGCGGGATGTGAGAAAGCACTGCCAACATGGCATGCTTGCGGCTTGCTCATGGACGCGGCGATGGGCTGCTTGGCTAATGCATGTGGCACTGCTGCATTCGGTGACTCATTGACCTCATGGACTCATGGACTCAACGCATGGACTCATGTTTGCTCTCGCACACTCGAAACAACTTGCATTCACTACACCACGCAAAATTCCTGGCCGATGAGTAGGCTGTGAACTTATGAGTTCATGGACCATGGACGGTTGCACTCGTGTTCAGGTGGATGCATGAGTTCATTCACTCATGGCTCAGGCTCATGACTCATGACCGGTCTCACAAACAAACTGCACCATGGACCATGCAGTATGAACTCCATGCAAATGCATCACGTTAGCAAATGATTAACGATCAAAGGAAGAAACCATGAAGTCATGAAGTCATGGAGCAATGAATCTGCAGCCCTCCATCCACAGGCTCGTTAGAATTGGAATGGGGTATGACGGCAGCAAGGAGTTCGTGATGACCTTCTGCCATGCGTGGAGATTTTGCAAGCACGGCAACGTTTGCAGATCCGCAGATTGGAAGTCTGCGAACTCGCCGAACCAGTCCCGGAACTCCCCGATGCATTGGAGGTCGCGATGCAGCCCATTGTAGATGCGCTTGGAGATGTCGTACAGCTGCGATGTCTTGTACTTGCCGCCGAAGTTTGCTTTGACAAACTCACCCTGAAGGCGTTGCCACGCGCAGTTCCCAGCTGTTAGCCCGTTCCTCTCGGCGTGGCGGAACCAGGCGGTGTCCACTTCCGGGACGCCAGTGACGAGCTCTAGCCACGTGGCCCCGAGACCCGAGTGGAAATCATTGTGAATGTCACGCAGAAAACTTAGTTGAACACCATTGGACAGTCAAGAGGCATGCAGCATGCGAGCGAAAATGCTGTGTGCACATGATGACATGGCCAGTCAGCAAAGACACATGGCAACACGATCAGGAATCCGCTTGCTGAATACTCTCACATCGGTCAGCCCACGCTCCTTTGTGGCCAGCACGTTCTTGTTGGTCGGACGCTCTGACTCTGCAACGTAGAAAGCATCCGACCTCGTAGATATGCGAATCTCACGTGGGCCGTGGGCTACTCTGCTTCTCGCTATTCGGTGTTGTTGCTGTTGCTGTGGATGTTGATGTTACTGCTGTGGCTGTTGCTGCTGAGGCTGCTGCTGATGCAGCTGCTGGTGCTGGTGCTGCTGGTGTTGTTGAGGCGGTAGTCCTGGTAGTGGAGGTGATGGCAGTGATGGTGGCTGTGGTTGTGGTTGTGGATTTGGCTACGTTTGCTCTTGTGGCTCTTGTGGTTGTAAAAATGCCTATGTGTGTGTGTGTGCGGGTGTGACTGTGTTCGTGCTTGTTGGTGTTGGTGTCGTCGCTGTCGTCGCTGTCGTTGTCATTGTAGTTGTGACTGTGGTGGTGCCGGTGTTTGTTGCTGATGTTGTTGTCGTTGATGTTGTCGTCATTGTGGCTGTCGTCGTCGTCGCCGTTGTGGTTGTTGTTGTCGGTGTTGTCGGTGTCCTTGTTGTTCCAGGTTGTTGTTGTTGTTGTTGTTGTTGTTGTTGCTTCTGCTGCCGCCGTCGTTGTTGTTGTTGTTGTGGTGGTGGTGGTGGTTTGTGGATGCAGTCGCTGTTGATATTGATGTTGCTGTCGTCATAGTCCAGTCATAGTGGCAGTTGTGCTGACATTATTGTTTGTGGTCGTGTTGATGTCGTCGTCGCGAGTCGTCGTTACCGTTGTCGTTGTTCTTGCGTTGATTGGTTGTTGGGAGACGGAGAGAGTCTGCAGTTGAATTCATTGTCGATGTTCTGGAATTGTGCTTGATTGGTGGTGGCGGTGGCGGTGGCGGTGGTGGTGGTGGTGGTTGGTGGTGGTGGTGGTGGTGGTGGCGCTGGTGGTGGTGGTGGTGGTGGTGGTGGTGGTGGTGGTGGTGGTGGTGGTGGTGGCGTCGGTGGGTGTGGTGGTGGTGGTGGTGCTGGTGGTGGTGGTGGTGGTGCCGATGGCGCTGACGGTGGCGGTGGGACTTTTGTGTTGCTGCACTTGTGTTTCTGTGTCGAGTGTCTAGTGTTGGCGTTGTTGTTGCACCTGTTTCTGCTGTTGTTCTTGGTGAAATTCTTGTGACTCATCACTCATCACTGCTCTTATTTTTGACAAACTGTCAAGACTGTAACTGCCACTGCCCAGAGCTAACCACCTATGGCATGTGTGACTCATGACTCATGACAGACGGATGACTCATGAGCAGGTCATGAAGCTTCTGTTCTGTAATTGCTAGTTAGAAGCAACGTGCCGAATGTGAGCGCGAGGTATTGCTTCTTCTCCGGCTCGTGAACAAGCCAGGCTTCTCCTCGCACACCCTCCACGATGCCCGAAGCAAAGATCCTCGAGACGTAGTTTCGAAGGGAAGAACCGGTCTTCCTTTGGTTCAGAGGATGCCGATGCACAGCACGGGTGCCATCGGCATTGAACCAGCTGATGGTTTTCTTCTCGCCCTCCTGTTGGGAATGAACTTCAAGTTTCAATCCGCCACACAACACACGTCACAACACCCGACAAGCGGCTCAACAAATTTAAAAGTGCCTGGTACGTCTCGAAGATCTTACGAAGAAGAATTGAGCCCTTTTCAGACTCATCTTGTGTATTGAAGCGTGCTGCAAGATCCATATCGTTGCCGAAGAGGATTTCATGGGCCTCCCTGTACCTCACACTCGTACATTCGTACATTAAACAATCAGCACGTGTAGGCGACTAGAGAATTATTTATGGCTCCATGCCATATGGGACTGGGGCGCTTCTCTTCCTTGGCATCCTTGAAGACCGACTGAGATGGCTGAGACATCAGAGACTCCGATAGGCACAAAGGCAGGATCGGATCCGGATACGGCGCTGTGGAGCGACTCGATCAGAATGCGGCTACAGTTGTGTGGTGCCAATGGTACCACGGCAGATGTCAGTTGATGCAGTCGTGATTTTGCAACATGCGACATGTGACCATGACTGATGCAGTTGCCATGCAGCGCCATGCAGTGCATAGACATGAACATGTCATCGTGCAACATGCAACGCAAAGACAAAGACGTTTTCTCGTCACGGCAACGCCCCACGGACGAGAGCCCCGTCGCCCCCATTCATCACTTTGTTGCATATTCCAGCCTTGCGGGACACACAGAAGCGAGAAGCGACACAGCCAGCCAGCAAGCATTTGTCGAGCATCAACATCGGCAACGCATCAAGTCTCATTTCTCCTTCCAAAGTCTTGGTAGTAGTGTCCGAAGCAACCTACCTTGTGTAGGTGATCAATCCAGACTGCCAAGAGGCCCTGAGGCCAAAAGCGCATGCAGTTATGCACGTGATGCACACTGCCACATGCATGCATGAATGAGTCCGGCTATGCGCCAATTACGGCCATCACAGCAAAGATGTGCTATGATCATGACAATCGAACTACCCCGACTTGTGTCATTGTCGTCTCTGATGCCTAGGCTTCTTCGCCCATGGACCATTGATCATGTTTGCCATGGCACGCAGCCCTGGCGACAAGCCACCCTGACCCTGACCCCGCCCCACAGAGCCCACACTCTGTGACTCGGAACGAGCACGCTTGGCTCTGGATTCCGTGGCGCCTGATGGCACGGGTCCGGGCACTGTCAGGATGTACGCCAAGACAGTGCCAATGCACTGGGTATGCATTGCATTCCCAGCTTGCCCTAGCCTGCTCGTACGCTCCGAATCGGCCGATGCCTCTTTCCATTGGTCACATGTTTCAGTGTCGAACTCAGCATCGTCTCTCGCAAAAGCGGACACCAGCGCCCCGTGGCTGAGGCTGGCCACGATTGGAAAGCCCTGACATAGCAAAGCCTCCCGACTCGTCAGCCACCGATTGTGCTCGTCGCTCCTGGGTGAGATTCAGAACCAGTATTGAGTGTTGATCCGTGTCCTGTTGTTTGAATATCACGAGATTCTGTCTTGTTCTAGCTCCGTCAGCGACACTTGCTGTTTGCAGTGATATGAGATATGTTGTGTAGTGTAGAAAACTACTTTCCCACTTTTCCACCCAGTCAAACATCACAAGGCAAGCACAAAGCCAACACCCCCGCCGCGCCGCCTATCTTTTACGAAACCCAGAAACCTATGCCATCTACGTGGACATATGAGAACCACTGCTGCAATACTGACTCCCCCTGACTCCTGACTCGACTGACTCATAACCAATAATATTATCCTACGGTCCTACGGTCACTGATAATCAGCACTACCCCTGAAACACGACGGCTTGTGAGCGGCTTGACTGGTTTGACCAGCGTTGTTCAACCTCATCCTGAGCCTAATCCGAATCCTCAAATTGTGCTAGCACTTGATCAGTTGTTAGTTATGTACTGTCGTGTTCCTACAGCCGAAGGCCACTGCCGGACACTGATTCAGCGATACTAGTTACTAAGTTACTAGGCACTGTTGTAGCGCGGTTACCATACCATGAGTACATTCATAGATTCATAGATCAATCAACATTGGTTGTGCATTGCCTTGGTGCCTGTCTGGATGGAAACCATTATG